ATAGGTTGACAGTCCTCCTAGTAGGCTATCAACTCAGCGAAGGTGTTGGTGCACTCCACTTGCTCCGGAGTTGCCTATTTGGTCAGTATGCTTTGGATATGTATTGATTGGTATGGCGGGGCCCTGTCCCGACCTTTATGATTTTATGTACTCTTAGAGGCTTGTAGACAGATATCAGGTGTATGGATACTTGTATGACCTTGTCGGCCTATGTTTCGAGTTTACTAATGGTCATGTCGGCCTTATAGGCCCGTATGTCACATATATAAGTTTGTATATCATGTTGGGTCTTCATATATTGAGTATGCCCTTATGTTTTATTTTTGTTATCTCATGACGGGTTTTCTGGCTCATTTACTCATGATAATATGATAAGAAATATATGTTGCGTTGGTACTCCGTTGAGTAAGGCACCGGGTGCCCGTCGCGACCTTCGGTTTGGGTCGTGACATAAATGATACTTATGCACTACAAAGTAGCCAGATTCTCATGATGCATCCAACTCTCTCTCTTGATCAAGCCTACTCCATGATTATTCAGGAGGAAAGCCAGAGGAAGAACAATGGTTTAACAATACAAAATGGTATATTAGGAAATGCTCCTATAGATGTTGACCATGCTGCACTAACTTCTACTAATGCTTTCAATGTTAAAACTAAAAGAAATGCTGAGATGTACTGTGGTTACTGCAAAATGAGGGGTCATACAAAGGAAGGTTGCTACAAGTTGATTGGATATCCTCTTGGATTCAAGTTCAACAACAGAAAAAGGACCATATGAACAGTCAACAGGTGCAGCACATAATGTGATTGTTGGAGAAGAGATTAACACTGGGCTTCATAGGAATGCTGTACCAATTGTCCAACCTTTCACTGCTGAACAATATCAACAAATTATCAATCTGCTAAACAAGGAGAAGGGGCATACAGACTCAGCCAATATGGCAGGTAATTCTACTACTGACCAAGATCCTTGGATTATAGATACTGGGGCTTCTAATCACATAGTTTCTGCCTTGCATCTATTATCATCAGTATACCCTGTACCTGAACTTAAATCACCTACTGTACAATTGCCAAATGGAAATAATACTAAAGTTACCCATATTGGACCATGTACCTTGCCCAATTCAGAAATTCTTTATGATGTCCTCTATGTTCCTGAATTTCATTTTAATCTACTCTTTATTTCTAGATATACAAAAGAGTTAAAGAGCTCAGTTCATTTCTACCCTGATTTTTGTGTCTTTCAGGACCTCTTCAGTGGCATGGTGAAGGGGATTGGTAGACTCAAAGGTGGTCTTTACATCCTCAATCCCTCAACACTTGTTACTACTTCTGCTTCTAATCATGTGTCTGCTTCAGTTCAATCAAATTCCAGTGTATTGTGGCACCAAAGATTGGGTCATGCTCCTATTGCAATGTTGAAAAAAATCCCTGATCTGAATAAACAGCTATCTTGTATCTCTACTTGTCATTGTCCTGTATGCCCACTAGCTAAACAAACTAGGTTACCTTTTCCTATTAGTACTTCCAATCTAACTGTGTTTTTCAACTTGTACATATGGATGTGTGGGGTCCATATAGAGTCTGTACTTACAACGGTTTCAAGTACTTTCTTACCCTTGTTGATGACTATTCAAGAATGACTTGGACTTTTCTATTGAGATTAAAGAGTGATGTGTATGTCATTTTGACTGAATTTCTGCATCTTGTTGAAAATCAATTCTCAACCTCTGTTAAAGCTTTTAGGTCAGATAATGGCCATGAGTTCCTTAACACCCTCTGCTCTAATCTTTTCAAAGCCAAAGGTATTATTCATCAGAGTAGTTGTGTTCACACTCCACAATAAAATGGTATTGTGGAGAGGAAACACAGACATATCCTAGAAGTAGGAAAGGCCTTAAGATTTCAGGCCAACATACCTTTGAAATTCTGGGGGGATTGCATTCTTACTGCCACTTACATCATCAATAGGCTACCAAGTGTTGTGCTGCATGGAAAATCACCTTATGAGATTTTTCATGGTAAACCTCATGTTTTCTCTCACATTAGAACCTTAGGATGCCTATGTTATGCCACCAAACGTGATTTTCATGACAAATTTACTCCTAAATCTATTCCTGGTGTCTTCATGGGCTATGCTACTACTCAAAAGGGATACAGAATATATGATATTGAAGCACAAAAGTTCATAGTCAGTAGGGATGTTGTATTTCATGAAGATCAATACCCATTCAAACATCCCAGAACCAAATTTCTTGCTACTTCTGATCCATCTTCTATTTCTTCTTCTCTCTTTCCTAATTCTGATCCTACACCACTTCCAGAATCCAACTATACTCCTATTCCTGATAACAACATTGTTCTTCCTGATGGCAATGCTCTATCCAATAATCCATCTATTCCTTCTCCTGATTTCCCTACTAATGATTCACTTGCTACTTCCCTGCCATCTAATAATCCTTCTAATCCTCCTAATGATTCCTTACTACCCAGAAAGTCTGGCAGAACCCTTAAACCATCTATTTGGTTGACTGACTACATTCACCCTCCTCTACCTTCCACTTCTAATGCTTGTCTCTATCCTATCAATCACTTTGTTTCTTACTCTCATCTTCCTGCTCACTTCCAGTCTTTTCTTACATCCTTTTCAGCTGATATTGAACCTACCTCTTACTCACAAGCTATTAAGGATGATAGATGGATTAAGGCAATGAATCTTGAGATTGATGCCTTAGAACATAATCATACTTGGGATGTAGTTGACTTACCTCCTAGTAAGGTCCCCATAGGTTGTAAATGGGTATATAAAATCAAGTATAATGCTGATGGTTCTGTAGAAAGGTTTAAAGCTAGGCTAGTTGCTAAGGGATACACCCAACATGAAGGAATTGACTTTCATGATACTTTTTCTCCTGTGGCTAAGATGACCACTATGAGGGCTGTTATAGCAGTTGTTGCCCTTAGACATTGTCCTGTGTACCAAATGGATGTGCATAATGCTTTTCTCAATGGAAATCTTACTGAGGAAGTGTATATGTCTCTACCTCAAGGATTTAGTAGTCAGGGGGAGTATAAGGTGTGCAGACTACTCAAATCCTTATATGGCTTAAAACAAGCCTCTAGACAATGGAATGTGAAGCTACACATGCTTTATTGTCTTTAGGCTTTCAGCAGAGCAAACATGATTATTCCCTGTTCACTAGGATCACTAATAACAAATTTGTGCGTATCCTTGTGTATGTAGATGACTTGCTTGTCACAGGTAATGACTTGGAAGAAATACATCAAACTAAAACTGCCCTTCATAAAAGGTTCAAATTGAAGGATCTTGGAGAACTTAGGTATTTTTTGGGAATGGAGTTTGCCAGATCTGAAGAAGGCATTCTAATGTCCCAAAGGAAATATGCTCTGGAGATGATATCAGAAGCAGGGCTGTCAGGAGCAAAGCCTAAAGACACACCTATGGAGCAAAACTTGAAGCTAACAAGCACAGAGTATGATGAATGTGTGCAAAAAGTTGATGCAGATGAACCATTGCAAGACAGAAATACCTTTGAGAGACTCATTGGCAAATTGTTGTACTTAACCATCACTAGGCCAGATATTGCATATGCAGTACAATGTCTAAGCCAATTCATGCATGCACCAAAGATATCACACTATGAGGCTGCTTTGCACATAGTGAGATATGTTAAGAAACAACCAGGCCTTGGGCTACTAATGTCAAGCAAAGGTGAAGAGAAGATAGAAGCATTTTGTGACTCTGATTGGGCCTCTTGTCCAATGTCCAGAAAGTCAATAACAGGCTTTTGTGTCAAGCTAGGATCCTCATTGATCTCATGGAAGGCAACGAAGCAGAGTACTATTTCTAGAAGTTCAGCTGAAGCAGAATACAGAAGCATGGCACATACTGTAGCTGAGCTAACATGGCTGGATGGATTACTGAAAGAATTGGGAGTTAGTGTGAAACTACCCATGGACCTCTATTGTGATAATAAAGCAGCTTTACAGATTGCTGCTAACCCCATATATCATGAAAGAACAAAGCATATTGACATTGACTGTCATTTCATTAGAGAAAAGATACAGGAAGGGCTAATAAGGACAGCACATATAGCCACCCAAGAACAGCCAGCTGATATTTTGACAAAGGCATTGGGACATCGCCAACATGCATTTTTGGTTTCCAAGTTGGGAATGAAAAACATTTTTTCATTATCAACTTGAGGGGGAGTGTAGAGACTAGTGTTTGTACAGCAAGCTATTTAACTTGTACACTTCTAGAAGTAGTTAGAATAGCTAATTAGCACATGTGTAAATTGTTAATTAGTTAGTTAAATGTATTAGTATAAATACATAGTCACTGTACATACGCTCAAGTCAAGAAATGAGAATCTTCCGTTTATTCTCTCTAGATTCTTCTTCTTCACTAACACCTTGGAGCTCTCTAATGGCTTCCCTGTGGATAGTCTTGACATGTTTGCTTTCTGATTTCTCCCACAATGGCTTTGCTTATATAGTTCGTTAGTTTTAGGCCATTCTCATTTCTATTCTGTTACAGTTATATTTTCTTTTCCCATGACACCAGAATGGAGAAAGAAAATGACATGTTACACCATATAGGCAAGACTTTTTATCAGTCCCATGGGCTATGGACCTGCAAAGGATTTGTATTACCGTGGGATTATCTATTCCACTTTCAAAAGAAATGACAAAAATGGCAAAACAAACAAGTCCCGACAACAACCGCATCAAATGCCAGATGACAAAAAAGGGCAGCCCGGTGCACTAAGCTCCCATTATGCACAGGGTCCGGGGAAGGGTCGGACCACAAGGGTTTATTGTACGCAGTTTTGCCCTGCATTTCTGCAAGAAGCTGTTTCCACGGCTCGAACCGGTGACCATGACAACAATTTTACCCGTTATGCCAAGGCTCCCCTTCGAAATGCCAGAAGACAAAGACCAATGAAATTATTTAGTTGATTAACAGAGCAATAGTGATTAGTGAATATATTTCTTTGGCCTGATATATGAACATAAAAGTTCAGATTCAGTTGTATGGAATCCAGCATTATCGTATTCTATGCTAAAAATGATATACATATTTGTTCTATGTGACTAATCAGCATCTCCAACATCTCTCCTCTCAGAATATAAGAAAACTGCTTTTTACTCTGCAATATATTATAAAATCTTACAACAAAAAAAAACACCTACTCCTTTCTGCATCCCACTTCTAAAAGAATCAATCTGCAGTATATAACCAGTATTGTCTGTATGGTTGTGTATAGCTGAGTTTCCGGGTTCCAATTACCCTTTAAAAATCAGCATGTATGAGATCTCTGTATCAAATCATGTTGTGACAAGTTGTGTCACAAGGATATGCACAATCAATCTCCTTGCTCACATTTCTGCTAAAGTACCAATCACCAACTGCCTCTGCAATTGTCTGAAAAACGAATGTTTCAAAATTAGTAGACACAAAATCGAAAAGAAATTAACTTTTGTGCTTGATAGGTTGTCAGTTGCATCAAGATCGTATATTGACTTGTACATATCATGTGCAATTCACAACACCACTCTTTCTATAAACACAGAATCATTTACTACTTTGTAGATTTTAGCAGAAAACGAATAAGAATCTTAGATTCCAAGATTGTGAATGACAGTATGATGTGATAAAAATCTTGCATAGTAGTAATTAACAAACACAGAAGATTTTAGAAGAAACTGAAAGGGACTGGAATTACTTCACACACTAAAACATTGTTCTTTGCCATTTTAGCGTTAAGATTGCATTTCAAGTAAGTATTGTGCCACAGCCAAAGATGTGAAAAATTTATTTGACCAACCTTGTTGTTTATTCGAGGAGAGTCAACTGCAAACCAGGTATCTTGTGTCTCACTTTGACAATGAGTGAAGCAAGAGTTTATGTACATCCCACCTCTTCTTGAATATTCATAGAAAACTCTCAGAGCTTCAAGCATATCTTTCCGGAACCCTGAAAATAGTCAGCAATGAAGTAACCATGGTTACTGCCATCAATAACAACAGAAATTACAAATTCTGAGAAAGGTACATATAAAAATAAAACTAACAAATGTACCGTGATAAGAGTAGCATAGCATAGTATGTTACCTAAGATTGCTATAATCTGGTTGCCGAATATTTGAACACTTCGTGAATTCAATTGATATTTCTTTCTATCAGACCTTACAAGATTCAACTCTTTTTGCCAAATCAACCCCTCCCAACCTTTTAACTGCCTAAGGACCTACATTAATGACATGTTGAATTGCGTGATATCATGTTAAGAAATGGACTTTGGGCCTAATTCAATCTCAAAAGTTAGCTTATTAGGTGAGGATTGCCCAAAATTGATGTGGGAGTTTTAACAATCCCGTACACTCAGGATTGGACATCTAGAGTGTGTACAATATAACATGAATGCTCCAAATTGGATAACCAAGAATCGAGATGGTCTGGCTCTGAAATCATGTTTGATTGTGTGACCATCTCATCTATAAGCTTAAGTTGTTAGAGAGCGCACTTTTATTTATTTAATTATATCTTCAACATATTCAAAGATAATCATATAATAATCTTTGTCAACCTTGCAAAATATTTAGTTGACTTGGATTGCATGCCGCAACGTTAAGCTCGCAATGATACCAGTGCCTTTGAGGATCAGAAGAAGGCGGAACCAATATGTGATGGAACTGCAAAAGCATATGGTCAGATAACTGGCACCGTGCATCACAAACATTACTCTGAAGTATGCCTAGTTTATAACAAATTGCAGAATGATCTTACTTGGTACACGTCATATGCTGAATTTAAGATGAAGAATGGCGTTCTGATGTATGGTAATGCATACTGTGGGAAGAAGCACTGCATGAACATCTCAACAATTCTTAGAAGATTGATCAGTTTCATCACCAGCTCATGAACTAAATACGAGGAGAGTGCTTAGATCATACCAGGTGTGGATAGTAGAGAGTAGAAGTGCAATTTTGATTGAGATTTGGTTCTACCCCCTTCAGAAAACCACATTTGTCAGAACAAGATAGCGCAGTATAAACATTCCTGAATCTAGCCATGATAAGAGCATACCTGTAGGGAAATAAGATCTTCATAGAAAGATCTGATAGTGTGGTTCAGACTTATATCTCTCCTGCGAAAACAAATGCAAACATCCCATTAAGTGTAAGACGGAGAGGAAATCACATTTGCCTGTTCAGTTGGCAGAAACATACTCATCTAAAAAGAATCCAGCATCACTCAAGCATTTCACACTAGCATTCTTTGGTAGATAACTGGTGAAGTTGTCACAATGCAAAAAGGTCGCCAAGCCCCCAGCAGAGCAGCCAGAAAGCAAAGCCTAGAAAGAAATGCCATCAGTATAGTTTTAAGCAGAAAGTATCTTTTAGTAAGGGAGTAAGACTATGAAGTTAAAATATTTGTATTACATGTCTTTTGGGAAAAAAAAAATTTAATCAACAAAAAGATTATCATGTTATGTACTTAAAGTTACAGAGTTTGAATATAAACATACTGAAAGATCCCAAGCAGTTTTGTATAATATTTGGCAGTTGTCTATTTGTTTACTGATACAAAAAATGACTATTTAACTCAGAAAGGCAAGACCATCTAATTACCCTCTCTATGTCCTCACAAGAGACTAATATTTCTGTATTGGGTAGGATGGGGAGGGGGCAGTGTGTTGTGAAGGAACCAAATGCTGTTTATCATATTGCTACCCCAAGTATAATTATCGAGCTGTATTTGTGATTCGAAGCCTTGACGGTCATCATCACATGCTGTTTAAGTGCAAAGGAGTCATTACCTTCTTCGCTCGCCCGAGCCCTTTTGGGAGAAGATCAAGAATAATTGCTTGCCAAATTCTTTGTCCTCTGAAATAAAGCAATGTGCTCCCATTTCGCTCGCCGCTGCTACGGGAATATGTCTGTGCTTCATTTCACGCAAGAACAGGACTCAGTTAATTGAAAGGACAGGGTACAACTCAGACCAGATACACCTTTATCAAGACCATAATTCTTTAACTAGTCCAAAGGCAAAAGTAATTGGCTTTGACACATCTAATATGTATGCCACCAGAAAATCTATTAGCAGCTCCATACTTGATTCTATTTAACTTGAAAGCAAGGAAAATGAAGAAAATTCAGGGTAACGCAAATGGTAGTCATATGATAGAATCCAAGACAAGTAAGGTCATAATAATTGGTAGAAAGAGCAGGGATTGAGATAACAAATAAAAAGAAGTCAAAAAAAAAAAAGTTCCATATTGGCCTTGATCCAAGTCTGACCATGCTTTTCAAGCTCTAAGATTCCGAACTAATGTGAATCACACGTGCACATTAATTCTAAAGCAAATGAATGTTGCTATGCAAATTATGATTTTTTTTCCATCTTTATCTGTTGAATTTCCATAATGTTCCACAAAAATGTTATGAAGCATCATTACACTGAGGTACTCAGGACCTTGTAATGCCCTCTCTCATCACTAATTGAAGTGAATCCTACACTTGCAGTTCATTTCCTAAACGCGTGAATATTAGTCATATTAAACGATATCTCCTAACCACAATGTTGAGTTTACCCTTTCTTAAAGACAGTAGTATTTTTTTTCTCGTCCACAATGATTTAGGAATACTTAAAAAATTTCATAGAACCAAACCATACCTAGCTCAAGTAACTAGAAATGAAGTCTCAGCACTAAAATACTTAGTTTCATGACTTCTACTGGTTCTATACACCCATAGTTTGGCAGACAAAACAAGATAAAACAGCAACAAAGCAAAGAAGTCTGCTCATTTGGCACGAGGAAAAACGAAGCACCCGATTAAGCCGAACTCTCACTTAAAATACTCTAGATAGGTGACTATCAAACAAAAGATTTAGTGGAAATAGCGGCCAGCTACTAGGACACGGCAGTGATAGTTCTTGTATAATAACCAAACAATAATGATGATTGAAAAACTAATTTCAATGGAGTGCTAAACAGGATGTAGTGGACACGAATCTAGTACTACAAAGGCAAAAAAAAAAAATCACAAAGTGGGAATATTTAAGAGGAAAAACTACTGCAAGAAACTGAGGTGTGTGCAAGTTGTAGAGAGTTTTACCCCATTATAGAACTTAGAATCACCAGCAAATGAGGCTCCATCACAATATCTGAGCTTCACCCGATTCCAGTTGTAGAAATCTGCATTTGTTTTTCGACTTCTCCATTAGTTAGTTACAGATTCCTCACGCAGTAACTTCAAATCATATAGAATATATAAAAATCTTTTAAACCAATGTTAGTTTATCATTGCACCGGAAAAGGGAAATTCTGGAAAAAGATTATCCTCAATATGCAAAAGGATGATAAGTATTGATAACTGTAAAGAAATAGTCCAATCCGATTCATTCAATTACATTTGAAACAAAGTTTGACTCCGTGTAGTTACTTTCCAATTAGGCTTTAGTCTCTAAATCATGCTGCTATTGAAGAAGTGAGAAACTCTCAAGTTTCAATAAAGAAAGGAAAATTAGGGAAAATATATTAAATGAAGAGGCACCTTTTTTTTTACCAGTGTAGATTGAGGTTCCACACTCAATATTTGTAAAAGCTCCTTAGTATTATTGACTTGTTCAAAACCCCCTTAGCTCACGCCTCAGTAACAGCACCAAGTTAGAAAGCCAGAAAAAGTAAAGTGGATTCTCAATATGTTCTCAGTTTTAACTTTTAACTGTTAGGGTTAAATACTTAAATTACTTTATTAGTATAAATATCGGGTGCATGTAACTATTTCAAGAGGAGTCCTTTAGGTAGGCTTTACTGGAGAGTACAAATGTACGATGGGAAATGCAGGGCAGGGGTCACAAAATGCATAAATCATGTAACATGTTAGAAAAAGTGGTCTATTTGCTTTGTTTTGCTGTCCTCCAAGTTCCAACTGGCTGTCGGTGCACCCATTTAGCCTACTTACAATTTAATAAGACTATGATTAATTTATGTTTTCTTTGTCCATAATAACTGACAGGGTAAATGTTTTAGATGCTGGACCTAAAACGGGGCATACAAAATTGACATTTGTTTCTCGCAATATCTAAGAAACTAATAAATAATGAAATATAGGGCAGGCACAGTCCTTCACTTGGACTTCAAAACAAATCTAGCTGACTAGAGGATTAAGCAAAAAAAGAAAAATCTAATTAATAGGAAGTCATCGGAGCAGAGATCGAACTGCAGTGTTTTAGATTGGGAGGATAGACAATCCAAAATAGCTGTATGCTTATTAATCACGTGAGGAACATGGACCTTGTCACACAAGAATAGACAGCATTTTGTACTCCTACTTACCAGATTGTCATTTCACATGCTTCCGGTTAATTTTCTTTCTTTGGTCCTTGATATAATGATAAGTTTGTGAATTACCAGGATTTAATGACGCATTGTTGCTGAGAATGCCGGAGAAGACCTCCCACTTATTCATGTAACGAGTTGATCCCCGCCGAGTTTTGGATCTATCCAAGCATGATTTGATATCATTGCACCATCCACCACCCTGTTATTGCAATCAATATGAAATTAAAATGTCAGACATTTCTCAGTATATACTTTTTGGACATACTTGCATACACATTTATTTTTCGTCTGTTAGCGTAATGTTATGTATTGTAATGCAACTTTTTCCCCTACACCGCAAAGTAGCCAAAAACACAAAATTTCAATTATTAGTATCACAAGTTCTAATTTCAATAACTTTCTAGTCACTCTAGCTAAGTGTTTTTTCACATAAATATAATAATGTTGTCTGAATAAGCTTCCATGTACCTCATGACTATTTTACGGAATATACGTGCTACCTATACCAACCAGAAGCGGATCCAGAATTTTAAGTTTATGGGTTCCTACACAAATCTGAAGCTAATATAAAATAATAACTGGATTAACGGACTGGATTCTAAGCTAAATATTCTTATATATTTAATGAAATTTTCAATACAAATACCGGATCTAGATAAAAGTTACTGGATTCACGAGAACCCGTATCTAACACACTGGATCCTCCCCTCGTACCAACTCATGTACCACCTAAAGTTTTTTGTGTTTTTCGAATTCTGAAAAGTAATAGTAGGGAAAAGGAGAGAGGATACTGGCAACCGTTACAGAAGTGTGTTTTTCAACATCTAGTCCTAGTTATAATACTCTGTAAAATGACAACTTTGACTCTCTTTTGTGGTCCCTATATATGCAAGTTGTCATGTCGTAAAATTAAAAAGAATGGCCATATGCCCAACTGGAAGAACGTATTCAAGCCGCTCTTTGAAAACTAATTGACAGGATAAGCTTCTAATCTGTTATCACTAACAAATAGTGAAGACCTAATTATTGAGAAATGGAAATGGACAAATTGAATGAGAGAGTAGGGGTCCATTTTTAGATAAATGGACAAACATATTTCTGTTCCGCCACCAATCCTTTTTTGCCTTTATAGGTTGATAAGTATTAGTAAGTCATAAGCTCGCAGAAGTTTCACACTAGAATACTACTAGAATCCGTGCCTACACTTTTGACATGTTTTGGATTGGATGAAAAGAAGAAAACGAGATGAAAATCGTATTTAAAAGGAGAAAAGAAAAAGGTGAGAATACGAGGGGTAACTTTATATTTTTGAATTTTTAATGAAAAAAGAAATTTGATCTCATTTAACAGTAATACTTTTTATAAAGAATTATTCTGTTAAATAAACTTAAGATCTTATTCGACATTATCAAAGTTTCATTTAGATATGGAAAGAAGATGGGAAAAGAAAACTTGGTTCACGACCTTATCCTTAATTTTATTATTATTCCTTATTCCCTTTTTTTATCCCTAAAAATCATTCTAAAAGTAAGAATTAGATTCACCCCTTCTCCTCTACATCCTTTTTTCCTTTTCTTAAATCCAGATGATCAGATAACTAAGACAATTAATTTTTTACATTTTGCACATAACAAAAACTGTATGACATCTTAATGCATGTAGAAAAAAACTAGGAAGAGGCATGTTACATTAGTGCATCTTAAATCTTTATGCATAAATAATTCGGTCACTCCTTCCCATTACTTTTGCCTATTGGAACCATCATGTCCATAATCACAGAAGGTTTCTCTTTGCCATGTTTGTCCTCTTTGTGCAGGCCAAATGTTCTTTTTAACTTATCGTTTTGAGCATCACGCGATATGTTCACCAATTAATAGACAACCAACTAGAGTAACATTTTCAATTTTGATAATTATGTTTGATAAAACCAATACAATCTAATCGGGCAAAACAGTGTGATTGAGAGAATTTTACCTTTTTACCCTTAGGTATAACCTTTGAAACAGATCGCAGAACATCCAAATGCACTAAAGTTATTTAAGCTAGAAAAATTTACAAGCAGGAGAGAAATATTTCCTTTTTGTTTATGTTAACATGTAAATACTCTATGTGAAATCAAACATTAGATGTTCAATTTAAAGCGAATTTAAGGAAACATTTCCCGTTTGGATTTAGTTTTTGAAATTGGTCCTATTTTTTGTTTCTCGAAAATAACGATGTGTGACTTTGTAGTGAACTTTGAAAGAAATTCCTGCATTTATTTTAGGTTAAATTTTCAAAAATATTATAAATTCCCAGAGCATTGTAAACATTTACATATGATTAAAAATTAGAGAAATATCAGCTATAAGTCTTTATTTGCTACTCTCTCGGGCTTACTTTAAATGATTTTTTTGTGATCCACAATATTTGATTTTTTAGATATCAATAAGGAATTAACTTTTTCTTTTCAAAGTTGCTCTCGGAGTAAAGAAATAATTTGTTATATTTTTACTGAACAAATTAAGATTAATATAATCGATTTCGTTGTTAATTAATGTTAAAAGGTGAATTCCTTAATATAACCGTACGAAACTTACTTGGAATAATAATAACTGAAAGAAAAATAAAGTTCTTCTTTAGCCGCATAAACGGGAAAAAGTGGATTTCAAATTCCCAAAAAATGAGACAAGACCTAAAAACAGCATTAAGCTTGTTTTCTAACTTCCTAAACCAACGTCAAAACGTGTTCTAAAGACCCTCTGTTTTAGTGTTTTGTAACCAAAAGGAAAAGTGGAGAGAAGTAATTACTCACTCACTAAAGAAAGGCTGCAGGCACGTTCAACAAGAAGTAGAGAAAATATAGAAAAGAAGTCTCTGTAACTAACTGTACGCAATGACAGAATCTTTTTTTCCCTTTACCACCCCTACAGGAAACACCATAAAGGAATCAGTCACTTACCTCAAATTGCAAAAGCCAATTGCTTGTTCCTGCTCCAAATCCTCGGTGCAGGTGATACGCAGGCAAACTTCCATCCAAACAATCTGCAAAATCAAAATTCAATGTTTAATTAACCATGCCATTAATTACCTGTACAAAACTAGTTATAAACTACTGCTTTACTGGAAATTTTTGCGTTTGGTAGTGAAATTTAAGAGGAATTATTAATGATTGGTAAAAAGGAAATTAAAGCTCTCAATAAAGATAGGGCATATGGATATTACATGCTCCTAGAGTAGAAGCGTTATGGACAAGAGTCATGTTGACCAGAAGCCGACTCTCTTCTTCTTTTGAGTAAACCAGCCATGGCCAGCAAATTAGCAGAACCAATTTCAACACCACAATTGAATTCACATTCATTTTTCACTGCGCTACCTCACTGAAAAAACAAAAATGGGGAATGCAGCAATATTTATATATAGTGAATCTGTAGTTCACAGAATCAATGCGTGAAGAGACGAATATTCTAGAAGATGAATAGAGATGTGAAAGTAATCCACCAAGAAACTTGTTGGATATAGGAGTAATTAAAAGAAGAATGAATTATTTTCTTAAAATGGATGAAGGAATTAGATTTTCGCTGTTGACTGAAGAAAGGAAAGCATTTAATTTACACCACGAATAAGGAAATAAAACTCAATCAAAACCTCTATGCTTAAAAAGGAAACAAAAGAAAGAAAAAGCACAAGTTATGTGCCTTCAAATTTGCAGAAACGCTGAAGAAAAGGATGAAAATGGCTTGAAAAAGGAAGAAAGAGAGTCGAAACAGAGCCCCAAATTTGGGAGAGCCGTAAGTTTAACAAGTACTACAAGAGTTGTAGTATATGAAGGGGACTCCCGAGGGAGGGAAAGAAATGGGAATGCCTTTGTTATGGTTTTAATTGTGTGTGTGACGGATTAAAGAAATGACTTTAAGAAGAAGCCCAATGGGCAATGGGGATGGCGTGGGTTAACAAATTTTGTGAGTCAGCCGCAATGGCAATTGACAGGTGATGGATGAGATGAGAGGAGGAGTGGGGATGGGAGTGGGACCAATTTTTCGTTATGGTTAAGTAAGGAGCAAGCTATATCATTGAGCATTTTAGTACTAAATCGTTCTTGGAGAATTAACCCAGATAGTCGCTCACTCAATTACTTAAACTAAAAATAGTTAGTGAATGTATAATATATATATATATATATATATATATATATAATTTATGTATTATATGTGTATATTCAATATATAATCTATGTATATGACGAAAAAATAAACAATGAATATAATCGGCTATTTGTATAAAATCCCGTTCTCTCCTTTTCTTTTCTTTTTTTCTAATTTTTTTCCTAGTCTATGAGTAATAGAGAAGGAAGTGGAAGAAGGCACAACTTCTAATTATCAAACCTTGCAGACCAAGCGATATATGCGGTGTTGCATCCATACATAGTGGAGTTGCAGTTAGTAGAGTGCAATTTTGTAAAATCAAATACCACCAAAATAAGAAACCCAATGTTACTTTCGTAAAAAATTTCTATACTACGTTCAAGACTTGTTCACCATTTTGACGATTTTACGTAAATTTAATACAAAATTTTAATCAAATTTTTTGTGATGTATCTAGAAATGTATATATAAAAAGAGAGTTACATAAGATAGAAAAAGAGCTTAAACTTTTTTTGGTTTGTGATTGTCTCATATTCGGTATCTTGACCTCCGACTAACCCGAATTCACATAATTAGAAGATATGATTGAAATGATAAGGGAATCATCTCAGGCATACTGAAAAAAGAGTCCAGAACCCAATTGTGGTTCTTTTGGACTCAAAATACATAAATAGGTGATAAAAAAAGGTGACATTTATATATATAGTACCACAATACTTGGCGTTATACATTAATGTTAACTGTGTCGTCAATGTATAGCGCCAAGTATTGTGGCACTATACTGAAAAAGCTGACACGCCCAGGTATAACGCCAAAATACCTGGCGCTATACATAAATTTTTATATATAGTGCCTGGTATTTTGGCGCTATACTCCTTTTTCCTAGCGTCCCCAATAATTCTTGGCTTCAATGATTCAAAAGCGTATAGTGCCAACTTTTTGGGCGCTATATATATATATAAAAAAAATCCCGGCTAGCCATTCCCTGTATAAAGAGGTTAGGATTGTATAGAAATTCATTCAAAAAAAATTTTAACTCTTGTTGAAACGTTTATTGTTATTAAATTCTCCAGTATTTTTTCATTATGTACGAAGAGCGTAGAATAAGAGTTTCATTATATTGGGGGGGGGTGAGGTTGTGATGGAGAATAACTCTGTGGGCTACAGTTTACCTGCTCAGCGTCATGTTAAATTGCCACTTACAATGGAGTATGATAAATTGATATCGTTGTTATGCAAAAAAATGAGTGTGAGGAAACGTTCAGTGATACTTAAAGTAACCGGAAGATATTCGTATTCCGTCACTCCGCAGGGGGTTGCTTTTTACTCGAAGTTTAACATCGACAATGATGAAACTTTGAGTGATTTTCTGAGGACTCCGGATGAATGCCGGGAATTTCTTGTAATCACAATGTTGGAGATATACGTGAAGGTCGAAGACGTTCCAAAAAACGAGGTTGTGCGTAGTAGAGATAACCCCCAGTCATCGGGTGGTTATTTTGGAGCAGTTTTTGCCGCATACGTTCCGGATGAAAGAGTTTTCCTTAATTTAAACTTATCACCGCCGGCGAATGAGCAGCGAGAAAATAATTTATACCCTGCTTTCCATAATTCACAAGACGAGTGGTAAACTTTAATTTTCATTTGTGTTAATTATGTATATTTTTGGCATATTGAATTTGTATTAACGCTCATATATTTAATAGGGAGTACCGACCGAATATGAATTTTACAAGTGGCTCATCCGGTAGTCATCACCAATTGAAAACGCCCATCATGGATTTCATCATATTACGACTTGTAAGTGAAATGATATAGCCATATGGAAAGCATTTATTAATTCAGTAGCTTATATTTTTGTTGGTTGTGCACTGAAAACGAGCAAGTTGAACCACCCGTACTCACTCAATTGACCGAAAATGATATATTACATCGGAATCTAGCAGATGCACAAAGTGAGGAATAGAACAGTGATTACAATAACAATGCCGATGAATTCGGAGACGAGACACCCTTTCCTGGTGAGGATGGTGATGAGCAGGATGAGGAGGAATGACCCGATTTAAAGAGAGACCCCCTAGACGAAGAGTGTACGAGTCCGAAGTATCATTTCATTCAAGGGAGATTCCTTACATTGATAACTTGCCAACCATTCCGGATGTGGAAGCTCTCACAAGGGATTTTGATGAAATCCGGACAACAATGTGGGATGAGTCTAGACCAACGGTGCTTGCAAAGGGGATGCTTTTTTCCTGATAAAGCCCGCTTAAGCAGGGCTTGTAAAATGCACAACATAAAAGAGTGTTATGAGATGCAGGTACGAGAGTCAAGTCCGATGGTATACAAGGCTGTTTGCCGCAGGTGGTTTTGGCCATGTAATTGGATGTTGCGTGCGACCAAGAAGAAGACAGGTATGTGGAAAGTGGGTAAATACATTCCCACCCACACATGCGAAATGGACACATTCAACGGGAATCACTTCAACTTGGATATTGACTTGATTTCTCTTGTACTTCTTCCGCACCTCGAAGCGTCCATAAGGTATACAATCAAAGAGTGCATTACATCAGTCCACCAGGAATATGGCCATACCATTACGAAAAGAAAGGCATTTCTCGGGCGCAAACGAGCATTTGAAATTGTCTACGATAATTGGGATAAGTCATTTGCATCTCTGTCAAAGTACATGGCGGCACTGCAGCACTTTAACCCCGGGACAGTTGTTGAATGGAAGCTTGAGCAAAGTCCAGGAACACCAGAATACATATTCAATTACGTGTTCTGGGCGTTTAAGCCAGCAATTGATGGTTTTTCGCATTGTCGGCCTGTAATATCCATAGACGGAACTCATGTCAATGAAAAAAGCTATTGATAGCCGTGGCAGTGGATGCTAATGGACAGATATTTCCTCTAGCTTTTGCTGTTTGTGCCAATGAAAGCAGAGAGACGTGATTGCTATTTTTGAACCACCTTAAAGGGCACGTTGTCAAACAGCTTTCAGGTATTTGTTTAATATATGATCGGCACGGTGGTATATTAAGTTCTGTGGAGAACTTGCCTACATGGCAAGAACCTTATGCATAACACTGTTACTGTGTGAGGCATTTGAAGGCCAATTTACGGAAGGCACATCCCAACAAGGATCTACATGATTTGATGTGGATGGCAGTAATTGACCACCACCAGCATAAATTCCAGAGGCATATAGATTCTATCAGGCAAGAAGACGAGGCAGCCTATCGTTGGTTAATGCGACATGACCCTGAAAAGTGGACGTTGCATGCGGATAGTGGCAGATGATGGGGAATTCTTACTATAAACGTGTTAGAGTCCTTCAACGGGTTATTGAAGTCGGCAAGAGGATTGCCTATCACAGCCATGGTGCGGATGTTGTTCAAGCAGATGGCGGAGAGGTTTGTTGAACGGTCTGCAACTGCAACGGAATTGATGGAGAGGGGTGTTGAATTTATGCCAGTTCCTATGAAGAGATTTGAGAAATACAGACGGCGAGCGCATTGACATTTATTTTTGCAGTATGATAACGAAAGAGGTGTTTTTGAAGTTCACACCACTATCCATAATAATCAGGGTAATAATGTACATACTGTAAATGAATCTGCAAGGTTATGCTCCTGTGGGAAATGGTCCATCTACCACATGCCTTGCTCACATGCCATCAAGTGTTTTCAACGTGTTGGTTATGCGGAGACCAACTATGTTGATCAACAATATAGTGTTTCCAAGTACCTAAACACATATAGTGGTCAGTTGCATCCAGTGGGTGCTGAGCATTATTGGCCTCCGGAACCATTTAAAATGGTGTGTAACAAGTCCTATTTGCGTAAAAGACAGGTGCAGAAGAGAACGCGTATACGGAACCAAATGGATGTTAGTGACACCGTTTATGCGCGCAAATGTGGTATATGCTCGCAAACAGGACACGACCGTCGTAAATGTCCTTCAGCTGGTTTGGGTGGCAAAACTAATCAAGCTCGTGGTGGGTGTTCTTCTAGTGTACCTAACTACCCATGAGTTGATGTTGTAATAATTAGTTGTTATGTCTATGTTGCAAGATTTATGAAATAAAATTATGCTTGTTAACTATGATTTGTACTTTCCCATTTTACATATTTAAATAATAATTTAATAAAATTATCTATATATTTATTATGCGTGTGTGTTGTCTTGTCGAACTGAAAAAGCTGACCAGCTGACATAAATTTGTCTTGTCAACATCATGATATTTAACACGCAAAATATAGCATTATTAGATAGTACGTTATGTGCGTGTTGTCTTGTCGAACTGAAAAAGCTGACCAGCTGACATAAAGTTGTCTTGTCAACATCATGATATTTAACACGCAAAATATAACGCCATTAGATAGTATGTTATGTGTGTGTTGTCTCGCCTATAAATAACGGGCTCATTGTAGTTATTTTGTGTGCTCAAAATTTACTAAAAGCAAATAATTCATTAAAAGTAAGGTTTTTTTTTTACTAAAAACAAATATTTCACAAAAGGCTCAACCTGATCATCCACCAAAGTGCAACTGTGGGAAAGCATGCTTGATGCAAAATTGTTAGGACAGTGGTGAAGTTGGACGCTGCTACTGGCACTGTATGAACCAGTTTAACAAGGTTCCCGGCGAACCTATTTGTGATTTTGAGGAATGGGTTGATGAACCATGTTATCAGGAATGTTACAGAGAACAACTGCAGTTTCTTCATAATATGTGTTTAAGACAACGGGAACATGAAAAAGAAAGCAATAGAATTATTGCATACTT